CTGCCGATTCACGGCGGCGGCGTCGGCGCCAGCGGCTGCAGCGCCCGCGGCAGCAAGCCGGGTGGAAGACACGCGTCGAACTGGCAATGGACAGGCGCGCCCCGTCGGCGAGCATGCGCCCCGCCGGCGCGCAGAACCGGCCCGTGGTGAACTGGGCGTGAGCACCGATGTCGACGATGGCTGCAGAGTCCAGCGCCGCGTACTCCACGCAGTGGTTTCCTTCTCATCCTTCTCCTGGCAGTCTCCGCGGCGGCGCAGGTGGATCCGCGCGCCCTGCTCGAGCCTTTGCCGATGGGGTCCTGGCGCTCGCACCCATGACCTTGCACTGGACCCAGACCCCCTTCTTTCCGATGCGCTCTGGGTTGTCGAGGACGAGTCGGAGTCGGGCCACGCGCCCGTCCATGCGCGCAAGGGGGTCGTTGGGTTTGCTCCCAGCCCCTTGCGCCCTGATCGTCTTCGGTAGAAGGGCGTCGTAGTGCTGTGGGGCCAGTGGCGGGCCCCGTCCAAACGACCGTCGTGGGCTGCGGGGGCGCCGGCGGCAGAAAACGGCCCACCTCTGCTTCGCCTGGCGCCCGTCGGGCGCAGCAGCAGCACGCGCGGCAGATGCCGGCGGCTGCTCCCACGGCTCAGCAGGCCCACGCGCAGGGCGCGAAAATGGCAGGCTGTGGGCCGTCAGGGCGATGACGCCGGTGCAACCCAGCACGATGATGGTCCAGCCGACGATCGGCCAGGCGGCGCCGAACAAGCGCACGCCACAGCTGTCGACCAGGTACAGAATCCAGCCCCCGTCTGAGTACAGCCAACCGGAATCCTGTTGGGTGGAGAAGGCGCTGTTGCGGGTTTCGAAAGAGTGAGCCCAACCTCCCATTCCTTCGACCCTCCAGGACCAGGTGTGGTTCCCAAGGTTCTCCCAACTGAGATAGCCCAGGCCCCAGCCCCCGATCCATGAGGGGTCCGATGAGGCGTCGGGGTGGGAGGTGTTTGAGGCGGATCGCCAGGCGGGGCGCCCCCCGCTGGCGATAGCCCTCCCTCGCCAGGCTCTGACCCCTCGGAGTCCTCGGCGTCGTCGGTGGACGAATCGCCCCGGTCCTCCATCGGTTCGCTGTGCGCCCCGTCGTCGTAGTACACCGCGACGGGCTCATGCAGCGGCCGCAGGCCTGGGAACTTCAGGGCCTTGCCTTCGGGAGCTGCCGCGCCCAGCGCCGCCGCCCATGCGAGCAGCCCCAGCCCGCTCCCCGCGGCCGTCGCCCGGCGGCGAGCGTTAGCCGGCGCCGCTTGGCGCCTGGCCCCCGCCGTGCCGCCCTGCGGGCGTCGCCCCGCGCCGCGCGCCGCCATGGCCGCGCGGGCGGATCTTGCGGGCCCCGGGGGGTCTACCCGCGGCCCGGCCTCCGGGCCACTTCAGGCCGACCGCCAGCTTGGCCCAGAAAACTTGAGCGGGAACGAAGGGGGAGGGGAGCAAGCAGAAGCAGGAGCAGGGAGCAAGGGAAACGCCAAGAGGAGCCCCCGCATTCCTGGGACCCGAGAAAGCCTAGCGTTTAATACAAGCAAGTAATCCTCCTCCTCCTCCTCCTCCTCCTCCTCCTCCTCCTCCTCCTCCTCCACCGCCTCCTCCACCGCCTCCTCTTTTTCCTCTTCCTCCACTGCCTCCTCCTCCTCCTCCTCCTCCTCCTCCTGCTCCTCCTCGGGGGTGGGCCGCGCCCGCAGTCTTTGCAGGCCAACCGCCCAGCGTGCCGCCGCCCATTTGGGGGTTGCGGCCGAGAGGGGCCCAAGGCGGCGCAAGGCGGCCCCAGGAGGGCCGCGAGACGGCCCCAAGCCACGCCCGACGGCAGCACCGACGATGTCGACGCCGAGCGACGGCGACGTCGATGCCGCCACCCCGCTTCGTGGTGCGCCACCAAACCCTGCCGCCCGCCGCCGTCTGAGGGTCTGGACCCCGCACTTCTCTCGACGGACCGTGCCCTCCCGCGCAGGCGGGGCAGAAGTGGCTTACTTAAGAAACCTCCAAGGCGGTCCAGGAGGGTCCCAGGAGGGCACCAAGATGACTGTACAGGAGCCCAGGGCATCCCCAACATTTTCTAGACAGGCCTTGTGAAGAGCTGCTCGAGAGAGAGAGAGAGAGAGAGAGAGAGAGAGAGAGAAAGAGAGATAGAGAAAGAGAGAAAGAGAGAGAGAGAGAGAGTGAGAGAGAACGGCGAGAGGCGTCACGTGTTACAATCTTGTGGGCGGTGCTCGAAGAGTCGCCACACGTAGTGCTGCGCTGGCATGGTGGGGGACACTTGCCACAGGCAGCTGAACATCAGAGATGATCGTGCGGTATCTCAGCCGAGGGTCGAAGAAATAGGGGCGGGGGTCGTGGCACCAGACGGCTTATGTTCCGCAGCGGGAGGCGCAGAATTCCACCTCAGGTGCGCAGACAGACAAAGACAGAGCCGCGCGCAAAAATCCACGCGAAGGGACGAGGCGGGATCGGGGGCCGGAGCGCCCCAAAAAACTCTAGATA